ATAATGCAACTCCTGACAACTTCGCGCCTTTTACATCGGACTAGGTAAATTTAGGAGATGACGATGGGTCCTATGGATCCTTAGACAGGCCACCTAGAAGGAAAGTTGAGAAAGTTCGATTACGAAAATCAAAGAGCAAAGAACCTGGAGGTGATGCAACAAATTCTGCACTCGTTAATCTATTAGCAGAGATGAAGGAAGAGAAAAAAGTAATGAATGAGAAAAAAGTTGAAATGTTTGAAAAATGTTATCTTCAAGAACAGTAACGTCTAATGAAGAGAAAGAGAATGCGAATGGAGCAACTAAGAGAGGAAGAGAGAATAATGTCAATAGATACGAGTGTTGCAAGATGAATATTTTCAATGCCGCCAAATAAAAATCTTGGGAAATAAAATGTAGTTCTTTTTTATTAATAGACAAACAATTTGAAGTAGTATTAATGATGCTACAAGTACTATACTAACATTTGCTTAAGTAGTGCCTAGAAATTTCCATGCATATTTCATTGGTGCTTGACTAGATCAGTTTAGAGTTTGGAATGATTTTCTTTTTCTCTAATGCAATGTTAAAAATTAATAAATTAGATCAGTTCTGAACTTCACTCAGGTATGACTGTGGCAATGAGACTCTCACTCGTTATATCATAATTAAAGTCCAACTCATTAGTGTCCCACTCATTCTCAAGAATCATATTATGTAATATTATGCATGCCTTTTTTATATCCTTAAGTACTTCAAGTGTCCAGAAACGTGTTGGTCCACACGCTGTAGCTAATCGTGCTAAGAGCACTCCAAATGCTCGTTCAACATCTTTTTTTGTTGACTCTTGAGATTTTACAAAATGTATTTACTTATTGTCTCTTGCAAAAGAAATTATTTTGACAAATATTGCCCACTTTGGATATACTGAGAAATTGACAGGAGGAGCCCAACCTTCTGAAAAGAAAGCAAAAACAGAAGAGCGTTCTAGTACGTTGATATCATTATGGGATCCAGGTAACCCAAAAAAAACATGTTAAATCCAAAGATCATATGAAACCACCGCCTCTAAAATAATTGTTGGTTCATTGATGTGATCAGAATGCATACCTTTCCACACTGTTGGACAATTCTTCCATGTTCAATGCATACAGTCAATACTACCCAACATCCCAAGAAACCCACGATTGGTACCCATTGCTAATAATCTAGCAATGTCACTTTTGTTTGGTGACTTGAGGTATTCATCGAAAAAAATTGCTACTACCACTCTCACAAATCTTTTCAAACTTTCTATTGCGGTACTTTTATCAATCCTCACATAATCATCAACAACATCTATTGCAACTCCATAAGCAAACATTCTTGTGGTGGTTGCCATCTTTTGAAGTGAAGACAAGCCAGTAATTCCAGCAGTATCTTTTTTTTGGACAAAGTATGAATCATAAGCTTCTACCATGGAAAGAATACGAAGGAAAATGACTTGATTCTTTCGAAACTTTCTTTGAAATAAATTTAAGGGATATATAGGTGGTTCAACAAAATAATCAAGATAAAGTCTCTCGTGCCCTTGAACTCGTTTACAAAAAATAACTTAATGACTTTGAATGGAACCGCGACGTATACCAGAGCTTTCCTCATTACTGAGTTTGTTCATTTCCATAGAACAAATCATTACCATCTTCAATTCATCATCAAAATTAGAATCGTTAATAATCATCTTAATTGCAGGATGACGAGTCTTAACATAAAAACAAAGAAGAGTGCAAATGTCAATAAATAGATTTGATGTATACGACGATGAGATAGGAAATATCCTATTTATACATATCCAAAAAATATGACCGTTAAAAAATGATCGTTGTAAATGTGACTATTACAAATATGACCGTTGAAAAATTCAAATTTTAAAATTTTGATAATGTAACCATTGTAAATATAACCATTATTAATAAAAATCTAAAATTTAAAATTTTGATGACGTGACATAACACGTCATTATGTGATGTCATCAATATGGCGATGACGTGGCATGCTACATAATATTTTAGATTTTAATAATTAATAGTTAGTTAAAATTAGTTAAAATAGTTAACTAAAATAGAGAACGTTATTCGAGTGAATTAGTAAGAGTTGCTCTTTAAAATAAATAGTGTAATAAAAAAGTATATTTGGAGTTGCTCGAAGAGGCTTCACAAGGCAACTTTTTTATAATTTATATATTCCTCCCTCCAATTTTATTTATCTTAATTTCCTCCTCTAAATTTTTTTAATAATAGATTACATCTAAAACTCCATAACTTTTAAAATGCATCTACCATGCATGTTTTGGGTTTTACGGATAAAACTATGTGCACGAAAAAGGTGCACTAAATCATATGCAGTCAATGGATCAGTGACGAGATCCACTGATTTGATGACTATATTAGTGCATTTTTTTGTGTGCATATCATTTCTTGGTTTTTATCTAATATCCCAAACAAGAAGGTTAAAAGTATAAAAAAAAATATAGAGGATCATAAATCATTTGCATCATATGGAGTTAAGGGCGTCAAAATATGATATGACTCGTTATACATGACATGAACACAATACGAATTAGAGAGTTTGCATTTTTTTTAAGTCACCTGTTCTGTAAACGAGTGGACTCGACACGATATGATTAATAAAAGAATCGGATACGAATGAAACTAATAAAAAAATATATGATACTACTCGTTTAAATACTGGTTATACACAGATTCATACACGATACGAACCCAATATGATTCGATTTATTAGACACAACTTAATAAACAAATTAGGAATGAATATAATATTTTTTTGACACAAATCTGTCTCATCCGACACGAGTCCACCTCACCCCCGACGTATATGGAGTAGGTTAGTAAATATTAATTGGATCTTTAGGTGGTGTTTGATATAACTGAAAGCAACACTAAAAATTGAATGTTGAATTTTAAGTGCTGAATGCTAAATTTTTTAATTTGTAGACTGTTTGTTATTAACTAAAATTTAAGTATTGAATTTAATCAAACTGTTTGACAAATATAAAGAGCTGAAGTTTAAAAAATATTATTATTCTAATTTTATCCTTCTCTTTAACCATCTCTCCGTAATTGTCTTATTTCCATCACCATCATCACAATTGTAGTGGTAATGGTGGTGGTGACTCAATGGTAGTGGTGGCAGTAACAGTGGTGGTGACACAATGGTAGTGGTGGCGACAATGATGGTAATGGTAATAGTGGTGGTGGCAACAACATTGTGGTTGTGGTGGCGACGACACAATGGTAGTGACCGTGGTGGTGATGGTGATGGTGATGACGACACAATGATGATGGTGACAATGATATAATGGTAGTGATAGTAACAATGATACAATAATAGTGACGGTGGTAGTGGTGTAGGTGGTGGCGGCAATGGTGGTGGTAGTGATTATGGTGGTGGTGACAATAGTGATGGTGATAGTGACACAATGGTAGTGGTGGCGGCAACTATAGTGGTGATGACAATGGTATAATAGTGGTGGTGGTGGTGGCGATGACACAATGGCAGTGATGGTGTATTTGTCCGTTACAAGACATTGATAAAATCTTTATTGACTAATATTTTCAACATTAAGTGATAAGTAGGTGATGTGTGTTTGTTAACCCACATTCATCACTTAAAATGAATGTATTTAGCACTTATTAATTAAGTCTGTTTGATAACCAAAATTTAAATTCTCTTAATATGTTAAATGTTCCCTAAAAATAAGCTACAATATTAAGTAGGAGATCCCTTACTTAATTCTAAAAACTGAAAGCGCTCAACAAAATCATCTTTAATAATATTTACAATATGATAATTATATTCCAAAATATTTTACAATCCTATTAAAATTCTAATTAGTCTTCTCTTCAAAACCCCAAACCAGTATATTCTCCTTGTCGATTTCTCTTTCTCTCTCTCTTTTTTCTTTCCCCTGTCTTATGTAACAAAAATACATATACATAATTATAATTACACACACAAACGCACGCACTATACATATACTTAATTCTAAAAACTGAAAGCGCTCAACAAAATTATCTTTAATAATATTTATAATATGACAATTATACTCCAAAATATTTTACAATCCTATTAAAATTCTAATTAGTCTTCTCTTCAAAACCCCTAACCAATATATTCTCCTTGTCGATTTCTCTTTCTCTCTCTCTTTTTTCTTTCCCTTGTCTTCTGTAACAAAAATACATATACATAATTATAATTACACACACAAACGCACGCACTACACACACTGCATACACATAATTACACACAGACATATGCACTGCACACACACACATGGCGCACACACATATTGTTAATGAAATCTAATTTATTGTATTTTTTCAATATTATTTGATTATTTATTAATTATTGTTTTTTTTTATCAGATGTTATTGTTCACTTATTATGTTATTCAATTTGTTATTGTTCACTTATTGTGTTATTCAGATGTTATTTATTTATTTATTTTGATAAAATATTTGTTAAATATAGACTACAATATAATAATAATGATTATGATTTATGTTATAACATATTTTTTAAATATTTTAAAATTAAAGAGTAGAAAGGTAATACTGAAAATTTATTTATTTTCAGACTTCAGTTCTGTGTAGTTATTAAACTATTTAGTTTAATTCAGTACTTAAATTTTATTGAATATCAAATAATCCACAAATACAAAATTCAGCTTTTAACTTTCAGACTTCAGTTTTCAGTTTTATCAAACATCACCTTACTACTTAAATTTTTATCTATTTTTAAGAAGCACTTAAATATTAAATAATATGAATTTTAGGTTATCAAACCGTTATTAAGGACTTAAAATATTCAATTTACTTTTACACGGCCTTAGTTTCATTATTTTTTTTCTGCTATAAAATTTATGGATAATTTCAATTTGCAACTGGCAAGAGCCAACAAAGGTACTAAGCTGCCTGACTGCACAAAGCCACCTCGTCGCTCGCTCTTCATCACACCACCACCACCACCACCACCACCACCACCTTCTACACATTCGACCGGTTCTCAGCAACACCCTAGTAGCCCTTAAATGTCTTCGCTGCTGCCAATCAGAACCCACCACCTATCCCCCTCTTTCCAATTCAAGAAACGCTCCCTTCTCTCTCCACCTCCCACCCTTCTCTTCTATCCTTGCTTAAGTCCATCTTTCTTGAGATTCGGCAATGGTGAAAGATCATTGCACCGCGATGGTGTTCTTGCCCGAGCTGAAGACAAGGCCCGAGGCTCTTCTGCATCTCCGGCTCGACAACAGCACCAACCCAACTCAGAGAAGCAGCTTCAGGTTCAATCTCTCTTGATGTCGTATATATTCAGATGATTGCAATTATTTACGTGTCAATTTGATTGGATTTATTGCTGAATTTTTTGAAAGAGTGAATAGTTTGTTTTGACTTAGCACAAGAATCTGAAATACAGGTCTATATATAAGAATTTAACGTGGGTGATTAAATAATATCGCTAAATGGTTTAACTTAGATGTTCGTGTTCAATTGTCTATCTGGGTATTTCATAGTTCAGTTGAATTGGAATTGAATTTTACATTTTATTCCACCCGAGTCTATTATAGCAAATTTTCACTAAAAGAAAATTGTTCAAAATTATCAGGAATCAAGTTGGATTTTTTTTTTTGGCTAAAAAAAGTTGGATTTTTTTTTTAATGAAATTAAGAGGACATTGCCTAGCCTGGTCCCTGATAATCAAGAATAATGGGACCGTTGGAATAGATACGTGCCCACTATCTCTCCATATTTGCCTGAAGTGGTCATCTCTCCTCAAATTTGAATCCACAGCATCATTGATATGTGGCCAGCCATTGACTGCTGCAGCTGGGCAATGGCCTTCGTCAATTGCACTAGTAATCTTATAGAGCACTCATTTAAGTCATACGCCACATTGACCTTCAGCATATATCAGGACCTGACACCCTTATCTGGAGCATGTGATCCTTTATGTTCAGTCGATGAAACGAGTACACAGGAATTTGAAGCGAATTACCAGCCAAAGACAGATTTGCTGAAGGCACTTGCAATTCTTGCAGCCGCTGCAACAGGGGCAGTGGCTATTAATCATTCCTGGGTGGCTGCAAATCAGGTGCTTCATTTGTAGTTATCATTACTTGTGATACCATTATTGATTATTCTCAATGAAAAATATCGGCAAACCTTCTTTTGGTTTGACTGTATCTAATGATTCAGGATATTGCCATGGCACTGCTATTTGGAATAGGATATGCAGGCATAATTTTTGAAGAATCTCTTGCCTTTAACAAAAGTGGAGTGGGATTGCTGATGGCTGTGAGTTTATGGGTTATACGGAGCATTGGAGTAAGTCTTGCAACATCTTGAAATTATTTCTTTGTAGTTTCATTCTCATGAATTGACCACTTTTTTGACATTAGTTGATACATTGCTTTTTAAACTAATTGTGCACTATCTTGTACATAGTGGCATATATTTGAATCGAATGTCTTGTTTTGGCCTGTTTATTTGAAATTTGACCTGAGCTTATGGTTTTCAACAGGTACTGGGCTTTGAACGTACCTTATATTTTTTATGCTAATCTATACTTTTGTGTTGATGTTGGAATTCGGTTGGTAGAGTGTCGATTGTGAATTCTTAATGGATGGCTCTTCCGCGATTTGCAAAACAGAGAACGGATCGAAAGGGTGCTTGCCTATTGCGGTAGGGGACTTTCGATGCTTTAGCAAGCAAAGGGAAAGTGGAAAGCTATTGTAAGCTGTGTAGTAAGCCTTTGTAAGGTGTACCTTGGTTGTGCAGATTTGTTTCCTCCTAGTAGTTGTTGCCCAACGACTTTGTTGAAGATATTATTGGAGGTCGGTGGTGCATATCGCGTGGGAGTTGACAAGCCCAGATTCCCACTAGCCCAGATTCAGATCAGGCCTAGCCCACTTCATGGGTTGAGTCCAAACCATTAAAAGGCAAGTCAGGCTTAGCTCATGACCTCAGTACAGTCCAAAGTTTAAGAGTTCAGAAAGAGTCAACATACGTGAGAGAGCAATCATTGAGATAAACATGACTTCTAGATGGTGTCCATCCCCAATTGTTGCTATCCTCCCTAATAAACTAATACCTTGATCCTCACGTCATCGCCTCAATTAGTATTTTGTGCCTATAAATTTTAAACCCCCTAACACATAGGGGCAGATCTCTCACACACCTCACCTTGAGTGTACTATTGTTCTCTCTCCTCCTACTACTTTGTACTCTCTCATTAATAGAGTTCTCCAGTCATCGTTGTCGCCTTCAGTGCTTAGATTAACCAAACCAAACCACCTAATATTTGTCTCTTATTATTAACTGCATCATTAATTGTTTTACATCACACTCGAATAATTTGATTATGCATAAATCTACTTTTGTACATCATCAGTTTGACGCCGTCCGTGGGAACGATTTGATTCTCACCCTACAGTCTTCCTACTTTTAAGACTACTTTCAATGGTAATCACAATCAAATCCATGAACCACGACGAGGCCCCGCCACCATCGGCGAACCCCGTCCCTGAATCCCAACAACTGTTAGAGACCATGCAACAACTAGTTAACCAGAACCAGTAGATCCTCATACTGAGGATGTCGCCAAAGTAAGGTGAGTTGAGTCCTCACGTAGAGGAGAATACGAAGAGTAGACATGTACAATTTCTACTTCTTCACTAATTTGTAGTTTAAATTCAAATTCAGTAAAAAATAAGCATTTTTTGAGAAAATTTGGTGCCCAAACTTTCGTAGGCGGTTTGATTGTCATAGATCTCAAAAAAAATACTCATATTCAAAGAAAAAATTTGCCTCAAATGGACAACTGAATACAAAGTTATGGCTGTTCAAAGTTTTGTCATTTCTTCACGGTTTTCTAATACTCCCCCCAGCACCTTCGCCCAGCGATGCCAACGTGCAAGCCCCGCACGCCAGCGTCCCATGCGCCGACGCCAACGGCACCCTCGCCTCAGCGCTGGATGGCGCATATGCCCAGCTGATCCTTGCTCGCGCCCTAGTGGTGCCTTTGCGTTTGCACACCCTTGCCTTGACACCTACCTCTCCGCCCGCTTGCACACCTTTGCCTCAGCGGCCTCGGCACTTGTCTCCTTGCCTACCTCCTCGCCCACCTAGGCATACTGCCCTCATCAAGTGCCTTGCTCGTTCAGCAATGCCTTTGGTTTCTAGTGTCACCCCTCTTGGCACATCAGATGACCTTGCCTCCCGTGCTCGACATGCTTCGTTGGCTCTATCCTCCTGACTAGATACTTTAACTGTCAACACCCTCCTCCTCTCTGTCTCTTGGGAGCGAGCCTCCCGAGTCGCCCAAAACTCGGTCTAACTCTGCCTCTGCTCTTACGCAAGCAGCCTCAATTCCAAGTTTAGCGGTTTTCTCGCGAGTTGTCAGAAGCTCGGCCTAATCTTGCCTCTACTCACGCAAGCAACCTATGTCTCTAGCGTAGCGGCTTTTTCCCGAGTTGTTAGAAGTCCGACCTCTTTCTACCTCTACTCTCACATAAATAGTCTATGTGTCCAGCTTAGCGGCTCTCTCCCGAGTCGCAAGAAGCTTGAACTAACTCTACCTCTGCTCTCATGCAAGTAACCTTATTCTCCAGCTTAACGCCTCTATCGCGAGTTGCTAAAAGCTTAACCTCACTTTGTTTTTACTCTCACGCAAGTAGCCTAAGTCTCCAGCTAAACGACTCTCTCACAAGTTGTCAGAAGTTTGGCCTCTTTTTGCCTCTGCTCTCACGCAAGCAGCCTTAGTCTCTGGCTTAGCGGTTCTCTCGCGAGTCTCTAGAAGTTCGTCTTAACTCTGCCTCTGCTCTTATACAAGCAGCTTTATTCTTTAGCTTAGTTGCCAGAAAGCTTGGCCTAATTCTGCTTCTGCTTTCACGCAAGCAGTCTTAGTCCTTAGCTTAGCGGCTCTCTCACGAGTCGCTAGAAGCTCGACCTCACTCTACCTCTATTCTCACACAAATAGCCTCGACCTCCTAGAAACTTGGCCTCACTTTCTCTGCTCTCACAAAGCAACCTTGGTCTCCCAGAAGCTCGGCCTCACTTTATCTCTGCTTTCACACAAGTAGCCTCAATCTCTCAAAAGCTTGGCCTCACTCTGTCTCAGCTCTCACGTAACCATCCTCGATCTCCTAAAAGCTCGGCCTCAAGAAGTGTTGCTATCTCATAAGCCAACCTCAATTGCTCCTCAACAGCCTGGCGTGCCCATCTATCTTTTGTCAAAGCTATCGACACCTTATCGAGTTTGAGAGTCCTCGAAAAAAGGTATGGAAAAGTCGCAACCATTTGTGAATATCCAAAAGTGAGAATGTCAGTATGACCAAAAAATACAGAAGAGAGGGTTCCATAAAAAAGAGGGGTACCATAGCAAAGCCCTCCATTGCGGTATCGATGATACCCTCAGGACCCCGAGAGCCGACCTCTCTAATATCTAAGGGTGTTACAAACCTCCAAAGCCTCTCGTTGGCCAAATTTATATCATAGACACCTAGCCACCGCTAGAAGCAGGACAATTATGCGAAGCTCCGATTTTAGTGGAAGCCTATATAGGAGTCTCAATCTCTAAAGTAGTCTTAGGACTAATCCTAGGACTCAAAGGGCTCACATGCTGAGAAGAAGCGGGAACACCATCAAACCCTACTTTTTGAGAACACAAAAGGGCCATCAGACCTCAGTTGGGAAGCATTGGGGGCATTAGATCTTGCCCTCTTAGGAGGAGGAGAAGTCGTTATCCTAGTGACATAGAGAACCTCCACCATTGATCTATTAACCACGGGATCATTTGTGAAGTTTGAATGAAAGAGAAAATTTTTAGAATTCGAAGACATCATCAGTTTGTCAAGGTCCTCCATGGTGTTGCTCATGGTGCCGTCTAGCCTCGCGCCTCCCTGGTGTCACCCATCTCTCCGGCAGTGCTAGGCCTTACTCCGGTGTCGCTCAGGCTCGCGCCTCCTTTGGCGTCGCCTAGGTTCATCTTAGCGCCACCCAAGCCTTTCGCCTTTTCCAAGGTGCCACTTGCCAAAGCATATCCATATCCTTGCGCAAAAACCTCTATGCTTCTCTTCATCCTCTCTTTGTTGCTTGTGTAAGGAAGAAAAAGAATGACACTTCCCTAGCTCTAATTAGAAAAACGGATTTCTAATGTAAAGGAATGAAGCTTTCCCAAATTCAATGAGAGACCCAACAGAGGAATTTGTTTGCCAGCATAGTGGATCTCTAACAATGGTGTTACCAAATGGAGAAATAAGTTTCGAAAATATAATAGAATGGTAAGCTGAAGAAGCTGCTGTGTGGAACAAGATACCTTGGTCTACCCAAGTGAAGGAGCTCATTCATACCCTCAACCCCCTATCACTACTAGGGCTTGTGGCATAGGGGGCAAATGACGAGCCCAGATTTAGACCAAGCGTGGTCCCAGTTCATGGGTAGAGTCCAAACTATTAAAAGGTAAGCCAGACTTAGCTCATGACCTCAGTCCAGTTCAAAGTTCAAGAGTCCAGAAGAGTCAATGCACATGGGAGAGAAATCATCGGGATAGCCATTACTCCATGATAATGTCTACTACTAATTGTAGCTATCCTCCCCAATAAAACTAGTACCTTGACCTTCATGTTACCGCTTCAATTAGAGCTCTGTGTCTATAAATTATAAATTCTCCTACACATAGGGCCAGATCTCTTGTACACCTCACCTTGAGCGTATTCTTGCTAGAGTTTTTTGGTCACCGTTACCGCCTTCAGTGGTTAGGTCAGTTAGACCCAGCTACCTAATCTTTGTCTCTTCTTATTAAACGCTTCATTAATTGCTTTACATCACACTCGATTGATTTGATTGTGTATAAATCTACTTTTGTGCATCATCAGGAGTGTCTTTTTTTCTTAACTGTGTCCACCTGGTTTCCTATCTTCTAGACGGGTTGTGCCTTTGAGGCAGTTCCTTGCTTGGTGTAGTGATTGCAATTAGGGTTTCCTCTCAATCAGTTATCCGTTGCAGGAGCGATGTCTTAGCGAACTTATGTTGGAACCTTGGTTAGGTATTGCTATGGTGCGCCAAACAAGTATATGCTCAGGCCTTGTTGTCCAAGTCAACATCGTGACCTCCCATAAGTCTTAGGCAGTTGTGCTGAGATGGTCTTCAACGGTCATCAACATTTGTATGCAAAACTGTGCCAGCTATGCCCCTTGTAATTTGTATGGTGTGCCCTTGCACCTTGCTGCTTGCTTGGTGCTTGAGCTTGATCTAGGTGAGTAGACCTAGATTATTCTTATCTGCGTGTAGTCATCTGCTGATGCCATTTAGCGGGTTGCATAAATGAGTAATTAAATTTGCACATAGATTGTGGACTAGAAAGGGGGACAAAAATTTAGGTCTTGTTTGGATTGTCTCTCAAAAACATATTTTCTATTTTTGGGTATAAAAAACCAAGGAAAATCTGTTTTGATTGTATAGGAAGCACCTATGTTTTCAAGAAATTAGGAACCAAAAAAGCTGGTATTCTGAAAACACATCTAAGATGTTTTCGACGGTTTGCAGAAGGCTTTTCGGAGAACAAAGACAACATGAGAGCATGTTTACTATTCACTTAAGCTACTACCCATATACAAGACCAGAATTTTTTTTCTCTCTCCTCCTTTTATCATCTAATCATTCGAGTACAATTAGATTTCATCATACTTATCTGTCAAATTCAAGCTCCGAAGAGGTATGTGAACCTTGAATGTTTGTTCGATTCGCAACTAGTGTTTGATTTTGTGTTTTTGGTGGCTTGATTTGTTGTGGGTTGGAAATAATAAGATCTGGGTTTGAAATTATTAAATTTGTGTTTGAAATCATGGATTGTTTTTGATATTGTATGTAGTGCTTCACGCATTGTTGTATCTTATTCTTTCATCTCTAACAAAACCACTACTCTATAAACAAGCAATATAAAATCCTAATCAAAACTAGATCCGCATGAAACCATTCCATGTAACCCACCATAATACATCTCATTTAGCCCCCCATATGCAACTCTCCGAAATTATCAGATTTGGATTGGAAATAATCTAATTTGCGTTATTTGTTATTTTTTAAAATTTGTTGGTCTTTTATTTATTTTTTCCAGTTGAATCTATTTGGTTTATCTGAGATGAAAACCATTGATTTTTTTTTTTTTTGGCTTTTATTTTAGATGAAGAGCATTGAATTTGTTTGGTTTATTTGAAATGAAGACAATTGATCTATTTTTTGTCTTGTTTTTTTAATTTTTTTTTGTTTAGGTTAAATCTGTTTAGAAACAAGACTTCTTGTTAAGCATTGACATACATATGATCCAATAGGTTGTTTGTTTGTTGCATTGATCTAAATTGATGTAAATATGATCCAATAGGTTGTAAATGCGATCAGTAGCTTGCTATTAAGCATTGACGTAAATGAGATTTTTTGTTGAAACCATTTATCTGAATTTTGGTATTAGTCATTTGTTTGTTGCATATTGACAACCCATCCACCACTATTTAAAAGTTAATTAGGTTTTATTTGTTATTTTGTACTTTTTTAGATGTCTTTGCAAGGTATTGAGTTTGAAGAAACAACCCAATGGTCAGTAAGGGTTAAGGAGTTCTTCATTCGTCTAATGGTGAATGAGGTAAGTATGGACAACTTAAATAGTTCGACATTCCATCCAAAGATATGGAAAAAATTTGAGACTGAGATAACCCAACAAATGAGTCATCCTTACGCCATTGCAAATCTTAAAGAGCAGTACAATAGATTGAGAACCAGATTCCGTTTGTTCCGTATGCTTCTTGAAACTATTGGATTTGGTTGGAACCCTGAACCAAACACTGTCACGACTGAGGAAGCTATGTGGCAACGGTATCTCATGGTATGCTTATTTGTGTCTGTTTCACTTAGAATTTTATTAGTCTCTTTAGTTATTAGTTATTATTGGACGTTAATACCTCTATTTTTTTTTTTTTTTGGATTTAGGCTAATCTACAAACGAAATGTTTTCACAAGAAAGGGTGTGATCACTTCAACTTGTTGGGATTTAATTTCCAAAAATCTACAGCGGCAGATACTTTAGCTCGTGCTTCAACCCAAATCCCACCCACTTCTAATGAAAAAAGAGAGCTGGAAAAGGAATTCTTGAAAGATAGTTCTAGTATTAAAAGACCATTTGTCAATCTTGACGGTGGTGACGATTTTGAAGGCCCATTTGAACGACCACATAAAAAGATTGTAAGCACTTTATCACATGGTACACATAAGGACATTAAAAGCTCCAAGATGGACAGAGCCCTTGATGCATGGAATGCATACTCACTTGAGAGGTTGGACAAATACAAGCGTTTTGGTGACGATGATCTTGGAGATGACCCTTCTCACATTGATACTTGCATGGATGTGTTGGAGTCAATGGAGGACATTGAGGCTAAGCAATATTTTCATGTTTGTGAGAAATTCAAGGACCCTGAGTGGCGTCGAATGTTTATTAAGATGTCTGCAATACGTAGGAGTCAATGGGTTAAGTCCCTTGCTTGAATCCCTATGGTAGTCCCAATGACTTTAGATTTACTTCTTGTAATATAACTTTAATGTGTTGAGATTTGTATGCTTTGGAAAGGTACCATGTGGGCATAGATGTCCAACTTTGACTTATTATAATGTTGTTGAGTGGTGAGTCAGTTTGTATGAGTGTTGAATCAGTTTGTAAATAATGTTAGTATTTATCATCTTTGTAGTTACAATGTCAAATAATGATGCTCAATCCAAATGAGGACTTTACAAGCTCATCAAGTGGCTTAGAGACTAGAGGGGGATTTGGACAAATTATTGTTTGTCGCTGCCATTTTGCCTATGCACTCGGATGTTAAAATACCATGTAGGACATCTACGCTCACTGCCCTATGAATGGGCGATGAAATTATTGAAAGGACATCCACTAAGGATATACAATTTTGTAAGGATGGATGCAAGTACATTTTGAGCCTTATGTTAAACATTGGGCAATGACAATCATCTAAAAGAGGATTATCGCAGAAGAGTGACAATTGAAGAGTCCGTTACAATTTTCTTACTCACAGCTTCGCATAGCATAAGGCATAGACTTGTTGCTTAGTAGTTTTAACACTCAACTGAGACTTTCAATTGACAATTCAAAACAGTTATGCGTGCTTTAGCAAGTGTTGGAGTGTCCATAGTTCGTCCACGACTCTCGTACGATACACCAACCGAGATATTATATAATGAGCGCTACTATACATGGTTGAAGGTACCTCGACAAAAAAACTCAATTGCTTTTTCATACATTTTATTTTATTAATAAAACACACCTCATAATGTAGAGTTATATTGGTGCGATCGATGGCACGCACATCTTTGCACGGGCCCTAGCTATTAAGCATGATGCGTACCGTGGTAAGAAAATGACCATTACCTAAACTGTGATAATAGCTTGTTCATTTGACATGAGGTTTGTATTTGTTATGCCTGGTTGGGAAACTAGTGCCAATGATTCTTGTGTTTTCTTGGATGTTATTACAAAGGGTAAAATCAACTTTCCTATATCGTCGGAAGGTTGGTGTGCTTATGTAAATCTGTAATTTTTTTTTCATCTATTAGGTAAATAATTGAAATTCATTAACTGATATGGATAATGTGTTTTTTATTAAGCATGTACTACATAATAGATGTAGGCATAGTTATAAAATCGTGTATCGGAAGACATATCGTTTTTTAAAAATAGTATATCGTATTATATCGTATTGTATATTGTAAGATACAACACAATTTTAAATAAATAATAAAAAATATATATATACCTTTGAAAAAAAATCATAGATTCATAAAAATATAGTATTTCATTAATACTCCACCAGCTATCCACCAACTATTCAAGCCATCAACATAGTTCACTAATATTATATTGCAAAGTTTCCACCATAGTTCACTAAGCTTCAAAGTTCAAACACCCAAGAGAAGGCAGTGTTGGAGAAGGAAGAAGAAGGCAGTGCAGCTACAGATCCAGATCCAGATGTAGCGATTGGCTTGGCTGCTACGATGGCTTAACTGCTTTGATTGGCTCCTTCGATGAAAAACAGAGAGAAGAGAGACAATCTGCATCGATGGCTTCGTCGCTGCGAAGAACAGAGAAAAGAGAGAGACTTGGGGGCTTAGAGACACTACGCTTTGTTGTCTTCAAGAACAGAGAGAAGAGAGAGAGGGGCTAGGGTTCATCGCTACAAATAACAGAGAAAAGAGAGAGACTCACCTTTGCTGTGTTTTGTCATCGTGAAGAACAGCTAGAAGACTTGGACGAATGGAGAGAAAAGAGAGATTTTATTTTATTTTTTGTAAACTCTAGCCACTTAAACGACGTCGTTTCAATGACTATAGGAATAAAAAAAATCAGTCTTCTTTAACACAATGACGTGGTTTCAGTAAAAAAAAAAAAAAATTAAAATGCCCGTGCGCGTATTGTACCGATATGTATTGTATCGTAAAATTATATCGTGTATCGGACAATACAATGCAAAAACGATACAAAACTATGATTCATATCGTTTTGTCTCCGTATTGTAACGTATTGTACAATACATATCGCGTATCGTACGATACTAACAACTATGGATGTAGGATATAAAAAATATGTCTACTTTCTTTTCACCATACTAAGGCGAAAGATATCACCTTCCAAAATGTAGAGTTAGGAGACGTGCACCGCGTGGGCCTAGGGAGCTATTCAACTACCATTATTCATAATTGAGAAATGTCATTGAGAGGTGTTTTGGAGTGTTAAAAGCAAGATTCACAACACTGAAATGATGTTAAAATATAAACCGACGTGCCAACCCACCATTATCACTACATGTTGTGCCGTTCACAATTTTATTCATATGCATTCGGCTACAGACATTTTCTTTCGGAGGTATGAATCTGAAAACGTATCATTAGATAATTATGGACAAAATTCCAACAATCTACGGCATACTGAAGTGGAAATGTCCCCAACACAACTTAATGCGCCATGTCCCCGAGCTAAGGGGTACAATTGCTGGGAATATGTGGGAGACGGTTTCTTGGGGTGGTTGACCTTATGTTATATGTTGAAGTTTTGTCATTATTAGACTTTAATATGTAACATGTACAATATGTTGTCCAACTTGTTTGTTATTATGTGCTCGATGTTTGTAACTATGATATAATATTTTTGTTGTATCTTTTATTTTATGTCTCATGACCAGAACTCTTAAGACATGTATGTATTATATTTCTATGGGTGTCCAGCTGGTAGAGACCATAGACATGTATGTATTATAACCTGTAGAAATGGTCCTGTGTAAGATAAATGAAGACTTTTCTTATGTACGAACTAGATATGTATTATATTTAAACTTGTATTATGGTATTATGTGTAATGTAATATATGAGTACAACAAGTATTTGATTCCATAAATACCGTCGCATCGCATATGGGTACGTGTGAGTTTTTTTAACTTTTGGATGATTTTATGTTAATTTCATCAAGTTTGATATATTTAATTTTTTTTTTTATGAAATTGGCAATCTAGACAACATATCATATTTTTATTGTTTTTTGAGTTATTATCCAAACAAGTTTTACTGTTTTCTATTTTTTAGAACTGTTTTAGAATTATATAACTAAACAAGTTTTGCAATACAAAACACAAAAAATACACTCCTAAAATTCTTCCCAAAAACATGTTTTCGGATACTATTTTTTGAGATGCAATCCAAACATAGCCTTGGTTTCTCAGTCAAGGGTTGTTCCATAAAGTTAATTTTATGTATTTTTCTAGTTAATAGGATCTGTTTTATGAGATGAGTACCATAAAAATAATTATAAGGAAGAAAAACCAAAGGATGTAAATACCTGTGAGGTGTTTTCAAGAATAAGTATCTTAAGGCAGTTCTTCTAAAGCACCAGAGTTAATTTCAAATGTGGAGCAAAATCACTAGTTTATTCTCCAACTCCCATGGTTCCACCTATATGGTGATTGTGTGATATCATATCTAATATTTGATAATTGTTGCTGCAAATGAGTATAGTATGATAACTGGCTTTAATTCTCTAGAACTATCTATTTACTGGATCTATTCTGTTTTTATTTTTTGTGTAGGCTCCTTCAACTGACATAGCTGTTTCAGAGTTAACACACGCATCTGCTGAAGTTAGTGAAATAGTATTTTTCTTGCTCGGCGCAATGACCATTGTGGAGATAGTTGATGCCCATCAAGGATTTAAACTGGTTACTGATAATATTACTACTCGCAAGCCAAGAACTCTGCTTTGGGTGGTTAGTGCTATATCTTGACAATTATGATAATGTGGGCTGGTACTCTAGTGGTTACATGTATATCCCTGAAATGGTATGTCATCGGTTGATTGGCAGTGCAACCAGCTTTGAAAAAAAATATGGTGCAACTTTTTTTTTTTTGGAATAGAATTCCATTTCTCGTAAAAAAACCTACTTTTGTCACCAATCGGCTTTATCTGCTTTATGTGACAGCATCATTCTCAAACTGGCGGCAGAAGCTGACACAAAATGTTAAAGATAACTTATCAAATAAAAATAATAGAAAATAGTGTTGCTACCGTTGCTGAAGTCATGATTTTTCATGCGAAATAATTTCAGCATCCTATTTAACTGATACCATCTTCATGTGTCATGAACAATTATCTGCCTATACCATATTTGATGATTCAATTTCCGTCACTGTATGGTTCTATATTATTTAGCTTTATTAGATACATCAACTTGACCCTGTTGTTTTGCCGCCTGCCTAAAATGACCACAGACAAACTCGAAAAGCTGATAGTATATAAGACAATGAAAAACACCCACCCATTATCCTATTTGTTGCCATTGGGTGGTACATCTTTTGAAACCCATATATTTGGGGTACCTTCTAATCTTGATTACTCATAATGGGCTATCCTTGCATATCCTATTTCAGAATTTTGTTATTGTATTTCATCTAACATAAGTTTATTGGTTTTTTCCCTTGTATTGAATGCTGATGATACAACAAACTTTTGCTAGTGTAAAAGGACTTGACACACATATGTAGATGGCAACACACTAGTTGAAACCTACACATAAAAGTATCCGTAATACTGCTATTTAAATTTAGTTCAATAGAAATGAGAAACACCTAAAAATCGTAATTTATTATATGACCATTTGAGATCAGTATAGCAACCTTGTAATTTGAACCAAAGCATATGTATTCTGGCAATTTGACTGATTACTAATGATACTTGCAGGTAGGTTTTGTGACCTTCTTTCTTAGTTCAGTCCTTGACAACCTGACCTCTACCATTGTCATGGTCTCCTTATTGAGAAAACTGGTACCTCCGTCAGAATTCCGGAAGTAAGTTGCCACAACTTTTCCATTTTGTGTATTCCCATGTTCATTTATGAGTATTTTTTATTAACCTGCTTACTTCATTTGAAGCAATGTTTCTGGTTAACACTGGGTGATGGCATTGAGAAAGTTTGGTTAGTAGATGTTAAGGGAAAAAAAAAAAGATAAAATAAAAAAAGAAAATTGAGATCTGTCAAAAATCTTTCAGGACAAGTTGGAATTTCAGCTTTGTGTTACCAATTTTTGTCATTACAGAAGTGTATATATGTGCACTTACGTATTTTTGCGGTAAAATGGGGAAGAAGATGAAGAAATTTAAGCAGCATGCCTACCATTGACTACACTCTAGCATTTTTGGACAGTATTAGTGACATTAGGTCGCTGTTTCGCCAAAGTTTCACAACCCCAATGAAAGAAGAATCTCAAAACACAAATAAAAAGAGTCTAGAAAACTATTCATCCATCAATAGGCGAGTAAAAGGCTTAAGTATGTACCCATATTGGATACAGATATTGAGTTGCTTATCAATATTGTTAAAATTCTTAAATGTTATGCACTTCCCAACTGAATATCTTTTTAGGATCGCAGCCTTAAATTTAAGGACAAACAAAGTTAGTCTTATAATTACTATTGGGCAACTAACAAAAAACACGTTCACAAATTGAGTGTGGCGGAAATGAGAATGTTAAGATGGATGTATATGATAAAATAGTAGAGGTGGCACGTACAGATAAATTAAGGGAGAATCGGTTAGGTGGTTTGAACATATTTATAGACGACGTATTACTTCGGTGAGAAAGAGTTATATGATAGCTATTAAAGGTAAGTGTCGGTGTAGAGGTAGGCTAAAATTAACTTCAAATCAAATAGTAAAGATATTGTAACTTACGGTTAAATAGAAAGTATTACCCTTGATGCGAAAGAGGATTTATGTAGCTGACCTTAAAAATGTTGGGATAAGATTTTGTTGAGTTGAATTGATTTGTTGTGAATGAATAGTTGTTTTGAGGCTTAGAGTCGGAATTGGGAGTTCATTGTGAGTTGGACACAGGAAATGCTAATTGAAGAGGAAAAGAAACAAAGAAAAAATTATTACATGTCAATCGGAAGCTTCTTCTAGCTCAGTAGGTGTTTGCCAATGGATATAGGAATTAAACTTAGGCATCCATCTTTTTTGTGTACAGGGATGTTATGATAATTGGTGGTCTGAGTAATTCATTGAAATCATATCATGGACTCAATTAAGGATCCACTTTCTTCTTTCTCTGTACATTAATGATGGAAGCTCTATGAAAAGAATGTTGGATGGACATCTTCTCCAGGGCTCAGTGGTTGATGGGGGAGGATGGACAAGGTAGATCATTTATCTTTTATTGACAGTTAGCACTTGGACTTTGCGGGGGAGGCATATTCTCTTTTTAGCTCTGAAATGTTTTCTGGATTTAGATTGAATGCTTACAACAATGTAATGAATTGACATGGAAACTCTGAATGCTTTGGCATTTAAATTGAGTTGTAAGGTAGGTGGTCTCCCATCTTTGTATCTTGGGGTGCCTTTAAGTTCTTTTGTTTGTTAAGATGCAGGGTTGATAGGATGGACTGGATCTATGCTAAGGAGAAAACACTAACGTCTTCTTGAACAAATATTTTGTTGATATTGGTTAGAATGCAATAATAATTCAAAAGAAAAAGCATTTTCTGTTTTCTTTAATCAACAATTTTTTTTATAATTTTGGTAGAATTACAAAGTTCTCTGTTTTATTAGACTAATTCTTGTGTTTAGTTGTCCTACATCTACAGGAGCATTTTTAATCAATTCTTTGCAATGTTAATCCATTTTAAGAGTCTTGGCAATTGATTCAATAAAGCTTCTTTAATGTATCAACAATTTTATTGGCAGGTTACTAGGCGCTATTGTGGTGATAGCAGCAAATGCTGGTGGAGCATGGACTCCTATTGGTGACGTTACAACTACAATGCTGTGGATTCATGGTCAAATTTCGACATTGCAGACAATGAAGGTTTTCCCTCTGTTTTTATAGACTAATTCCATGTGTTATATTTGCTACTATACGATTGTGAATTACACAAAGTTATCATGGCCAAAGGGGGAAGTTGGAAGATTGATATGTCCTATTTTTCCCCACTCCCACACTTCGTCCAACATGTTTCATTTCGGTGATTGGAATTTAGGAATGGCACAGTTTGTAGTTTACAATTAATTTTATGAATACCAAGACTCTATGGAAAGCCAAGGATATTGTGAGTTTGAGGCAATGTTAAAAGATTTATTTATTTATGAGGTAACAGAAAAACATGACTCAACAGACCTGATTGCCTTAGATAAATTCATGTATGCACAACACCTCCTGTGATCTAAGATGGTGGGAGGGACAGAGAGAGAATGAGCACAATCCTACAATGTAATAGTCCTATCGAATAAAACTGTGGCTAAGAACTATGATTGTGGAATATCTTTTATTATGTGAATTTAATTTAGGTCCTCGGGTTGTGGAAGACTTTTCACAAGTCAATAGAAAATGTTTCCACATTTGATTGTCCCAACTAATATGTGTAAAGAGAGCTTGCATCTCACTTCGAATAGTTAGGGTCATCTAAGGTTGGTTTAAATGCTTGAGGGGTCTTTCCTCTCATAATCAATTGATTTATAGTTGCATGCTCTAACATGGTATTAGAGTTGAGTCTTGGATGGTCAGTGAGTCAAGCCTTTTATCCATTTGAATTTTTCGTTATGCATATTTGTCTGTTTGTTTGTTAGACTGTTAGTCCCACGTGCGAGCACGAGTCCCACATGAGGGTGGGGGTAAAGAGAGTTGTATCCCACATCCTAGTCTCTTACCCACTTGAACAACATGCATGTCTAATGCAAATCTGAGTCTCACGTGAGGGCAGGTGTAAAGAATGCTTGTATCCCCGCATTGGGTAATCAGCGCACCCAAGGTTGGTTTATATGCTGAGGAGCCTCTCCACTAATAACCAATTGGTTTTGGGTTGGATGCTCTTACTATATGAATATGCTGACATTTGCAATAGATTCTTCTTCTAGCAATTCCAGTCCGATAGATGGTCTTGGACTATTAGAGATTAACGAATGTCAAAATCATGGCTTTGTAAAGAGAACTTGCATTGCACATTGAATGATTAGGACCACCCAATGTTAGTTTATATGTTTGAGAGGTCATTCCATTGATAGCCAATTGGTTTTGAGTTGGATGTTCTAATATGGAATCAAAGCCTTGCCTTGGGTGGTTAGTAGACCAAGTCTCTTATCCATTTTGAATTTTCTAATATGCATAGTTGTTTGTTTGTTAGCCCTACATGCAAGTCTGGGTCCCACATGAGCGAGAGTGTAAAGAGAACTTGTATCCACATCGAATGATTTGTACAACTCAAGGTTAATTTATATGCTTGGGGGGGCCTCTTAACTTATAGCCACTTAGTTTTGGATTGGATGCCCTAACAGGCTTAAGTGCCTCCCTATAAGTGTTTCATCAATGAGTAATACTATTTAGACCTAAAAATCTGACCTAATTTGCTGACATAATGATGTGGCTTCATAAGAATTATTGGATCAACACCAAGTTCCAATATTTGATGGGGTCTACAGTGAATCCAAAGGTCACAGTGAATTGGGTCAGTAAATTAGTCAGTAAATTAGGTCCCAAAAGCATTGCTCTTCATCAATCTCACAATCAAAGGTTTTTCCCTCTGTGGCAGATGATTACAGAATGTGCTATAAATGCATTTTCTTTGCTTGCAGGACTTATTTGTGCCTTCAGCCATTTCTTTAGCTGTCCCACTGGCTCTTATGTCACTCACGAGGTACTCTTCTTGCACAAACAAAGCAAGTTGGGAAAGTCTGAGTTTTCAGCTAATGTGTTTATAGTCGTGAATTATGAATGAAATCACATGAACCTCTCTGTTTTCATTCAGTGAAGTCAATGGGAAGGGACAGGATTCTCCAAATGTTTTGGCATCTGAACAGATGGCTCCTCGAGGACAGCTCGTTTTCTCGGTGGGAATTGGGGCCTTAGTGTTTGTTCCAGTTTTTAAAGCTTTAACAGGTTTGCCTCCTTACATGGGCATGCTACTTGGACTTGGAATTCTTTGGATCCTAACAGATGCCATTCACTATGGTGAATCCGAAGGACAACGATTGAAAGTACCACAGGCTTTATCACGCATCGACACTCAAGGAGCCCTTTTCTTCCTCGGAATCCTTTTATCCGTCAGCAGGTAAAGACCGATCTACTTTGTCACTTGCCATCACATTTACCCTTCTGTTTGCTTATTTTAAGTTTGGTCACATCATGTCTGCTGATTATTTAAATGATTAATATATTAGAACTCGCAACTTTTAAAATAACTGCATTGTGAAGAGTGCAAAATAAGGAAATAATATCTCGATCAGTCCACTTCTGCAAGCATCAATGTTTTATCCTGTTCAGAAGCATAAACGTACTAAACAAAGTCTTGTCCCAACTCTGAGGGAGTTGACTACATGAATCCTAGTTTGCCATTATATTGAAGGGAAATTTTATAAATGAAAAATCTTTAGTGCCTCATAATGGTATTTTGAAGATTGTGGTTTTTCAATTATTTGATGAGTTATATGAATTGAGTTTAGTAACTGGAATCCTCCTTCATCCTCTTCTGCACAATTAAGCCAATAGTGCTGTAGTACTCTTACCTGTATTCCTAGCCCCTATTATACCACACGGCTATGATCCTTCAGATCATCATGGATATGGAGGATCATCTCATTGTGGAATGTATTCTGGTGAAAATTTCTGTTGAATGGACTTGACCTTGAACATGTAACTTACTGGACCAAAATGTGTCGCTTACCATCTGATGGGGTTCCCAGAGGTCAATAATTAGTGTTGTAGGATTTTAAGAGTCATAATTAGCCCTGATGATGTCTGAACAATTATACCACGCAGTTTGAGTTACAGAACACTGGGATTAAGAAAGCTGATTGTACTATGGATGCTGTTTTACCTTGTTTTCCCTTTGGAAGTGTGGATTACTTAAAATGTAGCAGAGATGCAAATTCATTTGGCTGCACGTGTCTTGCCTTGGGAAACATTTCTCTTTCTTTATATGCAAGAACCAGAGCTGCATTAAGCATCGAGGTATCTAACTAATGAGCTGATGCATCATCTCTAGTGACCATTTCATTGTATGTGTGATTACGGGACAGAGTATTCATGACATATGCTTTATTTTGTATTACAAAATGGTGCAAACCATTCAACTTTTATGTATTTATTTTTTTCAAAGCTCAACCATCTCTTTTTGGATGGCTTCATCAACTAAAATGAGTACTTTTCCCTTTCTGAAAGATTTAAAATCCTGTTTTGTAGCCTTGAGGCAGCAGGGCTTCTTCGGGAATTGGCAAATTACCTTGATGCCCACATTCCTAATGTCGAACTGATTGCAAGTTCAATAGGGGTCGTGTCTGCAATTATAGACAATGTTCCACTGGTTGCAGCAACAATGGGAATGTATGATCTTTCCTCATTCCCTCAAGATTCTGAATTCTGGCAACTGGTTTCCTTTTGTGCTGGCACTGGTGGATCCATGCTGGTTATTGGCTCTGCAGCTGGAGTTGCATTTATGGGAATGGAAAAGGTGGACTTTTTTTGGTACTTGCGGAAGGTATATGCTGCTGTATGATGGTATACTTGTATCTAAATTTGTTTTTTCTGGTTTAGTAAAATAATCATTCCTTTACGCAGGTGAGTGGCTTTGCTTTCGCTGGTTATGTTGCTGGTATAGCTGCGTATTTAGCTGCTCATAATCTCAACATCTCCCTCCCCACAACTGTAGCTCAGGTTCCTTTCCTTTCTGGTTCATAAATTATAAAATGTATCTTTCATGCTGGTGCAAAACTAGGCACCACATCTCACAAAATGTGGCATTTCGCATTAAATTTATTGAGTCAAGAATGTGTATGTAAAGCTGATAGGGGAGTGAAAAATATCATATATAAGATCCTTTTGAGTTACACATTTCTTCAATTTTTCTTGAAAATAAAATTTGGGGAAGATCAGATCTCATGCCCTCAAATTTTTATGCTATGATGACTTGTATAGGGAATGTAATTTTGCTCATAGTTAGTAATTTTTTTTTCTTGCTCCATCACTCATGGTATACCAAAATAAAGTTAATTGTTAAGGGTGAAGAATTACAGTACTGTGGTAAGGCTTTCATTGCAAGAAGTGATGCAACTTTTGATCTCTAACAAAGCAAGAAGATCCTCAATACATAAATCAACATATGAATTGGGCATATACTTCCAAATCTAAGCATATCAACATAAATGTAACAATATCATCAAACCAATAAAATAAAATAAAAAGTTTCAAGCAAATACAACCATTTAGAAATAAACATTAAGTGTCACTAAAAAAATTCTTAAAATATAATACGAAAATAGTATTTTCTGCTCCAAATAGTTATTCCTCTGAACATAAGCCTCTTCAAATTCAATCGGTAATAGAATGGGAAACTCCACCCTACTGATCCAAAATCGTCTGAAATGATCACTAAAATTTGTAAGGGTGAGCTATAAGTCCTGTATCTGATAAAAAAAAAAAAGCTATAAGTCCTGTAAGCAATTAATATACTATACCTGGGAAAGGGGATTATTTGATAAAACAACTGAAAAATAAAATAATGAAGTATGTGGTTTACGTTCAAAGAACAAGTTCTGCAAAATCATAACTTTATGAAACAAATTCTCCCTAACAACATTCTTTCATACTTAAAAAGGAAGCACTTGTCAAATAATGCCAACAACTAATCAGATTTCCACCGCTTCACCTTGTGGATTGGTCTCAAAACTACTATTTGTTAAAGGCATCCACTCCAGAAACTATTGATGGTGAGTGGAGAGGTCCACAAGACTCACATACTAGTTTGGGGGGTTATTATTTTATCGATGTGGGACAAGCTCTAACATTATTAACTATCATGGTTACTCCCGTGATTCAAGGTCTGGAAAAACTATTAGTCCTAAAAATCAAATCACGAGGGTACACAACTATTATCCCCATCAGTGCAGGGTCCAAAAACCAACAAACATTTCAGCCCAGTGGTAAAGACTCGAGAACATTTGATCATAAACTAATTACCACATACACAAACTCTCCGATGTTACAATCTTCAACACGTATTGTAAGCAGTATTAGATCTGTCCATAATTTAAATCATGCGCATGAAAACAAGTTCATATCATTCAAACTAATCTTCTATGATAATTTTTTTTAACAAGTCTTTAGCAACCAAGCATAAGCCATGATTTTATTTAACAAGAGAAATTTTTTTTTTTAACACGAGAATACTTTAAAGAGAAAGGCTGGTGTAGTATAAAATCACTTACCTCAACAGTGCCCACGCATGCTGCTGACTGCCTTTAACAAAATTTCCCCTAAGCTTTCTCCACCAATCTTAAAACGCAAGATATCATGAAATTAAATAAATTTTGTGGCCACCACTTAATTATTAGAATTTCTATTTTATAAAAAAAAAAAATTAATAATTTAAACTCATCCACCAATAGATATCAACACATACATTCATGGCATACATATACATAGTACTACACCCAAATACATACATAAGCATGCCGAAATAGTTTTAAACTTCCATAAATTTTGTCATGTGATTACCCTATTGTTATATGTATAATTTTTGTTCCATAAGACACGATAAATGGCCCAATATTTTAATGATACTTATATTTTGTAATTTTCGAAAATAAAAAAATTCAGGATATTAGTTTAAAAGTTTGGAGCTTAATGACTTGATATTGTCTTCATATGTATGTATATATACCCTTTCTCAAAAGACCCAAGGAAACTGTCACCCTTAACTATTGTTTTAAGTGAGGATATAATATAAGAAAGAATTATTTCTTTCCCCTAATATGAATTATTATTCAACTTGAGACTCAGACTATTTCCACAAAATAATTCTTAACTAGTCAATTTTGACTCTCAGATAATATATAAAATAAGTAAAGTCAATTGAGAGGTTAAGTTCAGCTAATTTGCTAGCAATCATATGATACTTTTGAGTTTATGAAATATTCAGACAGAAAAGAATGCTAAAATGAATGTGTATGGATTGAAGAGTTTGATAACTTGACTCACATGATCAACCACATTGGGAGGGTAGACAACGACCTTCAGTTCATAATTTCCCTTATTGCGTTGCTCTTCTAGAATTTGCTTGGCTGAAATTGATGCAGAGGTGCTTGACGAATGTACCTCCATCATTTGTAGTGTTGGTATATCCCCTAAGCTAGAGGGTATCTGCTGAAGGTCATCACATTTATTCAACACTAAGCACTCAAGCCTGGGAAAGTGACTGCTGGAGGTAACCCATTTTTTAAGATCCATCCAGGAAAGTTTCAGGAGTTTAAGTCGACAAAACTCCCCATCACTTGTTTCCCATAGTGGCCCTTTAAAGGAATTGCATCTTAGTTTCAGAACCTCGAGGTTAGGTAGCTGCCCAAGGTTCGAGATTTCCTCCCAATGTATATGGCCACCAGATAAAGTTATCTTCTTCAGATTTGGAGGGAATTTACTCGGTTGCGGCATGTGTGATGGTGTTGGCTCCCAAGCATTGTTGACTAACTTCAGTGTCTCGAGGTGGATTAAATTGGCTAGACCAGGGAGGCAAAAACTCTGCATCTGGGAAGGACCGAGGTTACATGATGCCATCACTAAAAGATTGGGAGTCTCAGCTAGATCAGGAAGGAGAGGATTCTCGCTTTGGGATGGACCTCGATGTAATGCCAACTTTCTAAGATTGGGAGTCATTGCTAAGACATATTCATCATACATGCTACAATGAGAAAGCGGTAGTGCGGAAATACTTTGTAAGGCGCCCAATGCACATGGATTGACATTGGTGGAACGAGGCAATTCAAATTTGATATCGTCTGAAATCTTTATATGTCTCAACATCAACATATTCCAAATAGTATGCGGTAGAATAACCCTGCCCCACTCCCCTTTATCAATAATAAGGGCTTCTAAGTTATACAGATTGGATATTTGCGGTGGCAGACTGAGGTAGTGAACCCGAAGTTCCAAGAACCTCAAATGGACTAGCACCAATATTTCATCCGGAAAGTTATCTAGATAAATGCACCATAAATTTAAAACTGTAAGAAGCTTATAGATGTATGCTGTGGTAGTCACCCTAGGACGGAAACTCCCTTCAGATGCATACGAGAAGACCGAGGGGACTTGTGGAGCACATGGCTCTCCAGAAGTATTATGGAAACCGTGAGAATGGAAACACATAGGAGAGTTATGTGAAATAGCAGTAGTTGGAGAAGCAAGTCGTCCAAACCAGTCAATCTGCTGCAGCCAATTCTTTTCCTCAGCTATTTTCAAGATTAAATCACGCAACATATCATGGATGCGACATGCCTTGATTCCACCTCTAGTACTTCTCTTGGAACATAATACTAGACTTCTATCAATTAACTCCATCAAGTATTCTTCTGCTAAGTCTTCCAAACTTCTTTGTTCCATTGGCTTCACAAATCCTTTTGCAATCCACAACCATGTCAACCTGCAGACTGTGATTTCATCGTCTTCTGGAAATGCTCCAAAATAGAGAAAGCATGACTTCAAGTGATGAGGTAAGTGATCGTAACTCATTGCTAGTATTTCCATAAGTTGCTCTTCACCAACGACATGTGAATGTACATTTTCATCAACTTGCTTCCACGAGTTTTGTGTCTTCTCTTTATTTGTAAGAAGTCCAGCCACAACAACAATTGCAAGCGGCAACCCTTGACATTTTGCAGCAATCTGCTTTCCGATTTCCATCAACTCCGGAGGGCATCTTTTTTCTTGAAATACCTTCTGTTGCAATAAATCCCAACTCTCGTCTTCAGTTAAGAAATGTAGAAAATGAGGGCTGTCACGTTTAATTTGCCAAGCTACTTCAACATTCCGAGTGGTGAGCATAATTCTGCTTCCATTGCTGTCATCAGGAAAAAATGTTCTTAAATCGTTCATTGCTTCAATATTCCATACGTCATCCATGACAATCAAGTATCTATTACCCTTTAAGCGTTTGTATAGCTTTTCCCCTAGCTGTTCTTCACTGATTTTTTCAATCTCCTCTCTCTCAGCAACGGCACTTAGAATGGTAAGCAACATCTCCTTCTTTTGATACACTTTAGACACATTAGTCCATCCACGAACGTGGAAGTGATATACAACGTATTTATGATTGTACACTTTCTGAGCCAAAGTTGTCTTACCAAGACCTCCCATCCCAACAACAGAGATGATATCTAGTTGCTTCTGATCTCCGACAAGTCGCTCCACTATCGTCGCTGTATCCTCATCAAAGCCCACCACTATTTCTTCTTCTGCTGAACTGGGTGTACTGGCTCTAAAGAAACTTTCTGTGGAGGAGATTTCAACAAGCGGGACTCCAATGCCATACAACTTCTTGTCGTAAACCTCCATCACGTCTTTCTTGATGGACTTGATCTCTTCTCTGAAATTTCGAAGGTTTAGGCAATTGTTGAAAGCATAACCAATTTTTCCAGCCATGCTTTCATACTTCCTGGTGACGACTTGGAGTGCAAAGAAATCGAGGTAAGTTAATGCCTTGCAAGCCACATCTCGAATGTGTGTCACTAAATTTTTCAATTCCTCTTGCTCATTGCAGCTCTCCAAATCACTGAGGAAGGCCCTGATGTACTTTAGCTCCTCATAAAGTGTTTCAATTTCATCCTTTTCAGCTTGAAACCAATCAGAGCTATGGTTTAGTAGCTGCTTCAGGTCCTCCAGCAGAAAATCAACTGCAGTGCCTGCCATCTCTGTAACAAGCCTTGGAAGCTCAACTGATGATTTTGGTGAAGTTGGTTATTGGAGAGAACTTTTCTTGATAATTACACTGAACCGATGACTACATTTATCTGTTGGCTATTGGTTTATGGAAATTTACCCAACAATTTTTCTGTAGAAATCTTTTTTTTCAGTCTTCAAGATTAAGTTATTCCAAAGGCAGTAGGTTTTAAAGTAAAAGTAAAAGCTATAACACAAGTTAAAGTGAGACCTTTGTTATCTAAAAGCAAGGTTATCAACTTCAGCCAGCTAAGGTCTTTTGTCTTTGTCTGCCCCCAAATTCTTCCTTGACATGCTAATCTTTCTGACATTATTAGGGGAGGGGGAGAGGATATGCCCCGACCCGATGCAGACCCTTAACTTTAAACTTAAATTTGGTTTATACCATAATATTTTGGAATTCGAAAAATGACTACTTCTAAAGATGACTTCAATGGGAAGCCATTGCTTTGCTTCCAAAGAATCCAATATTGTCCCTTGTGAAGTCATTGTTGTATAGGTAACACTTGCCACCTTGACCCCCACCCTTCTCCAACATTTCCCTGTGTGATGAATTTGTCATCATTGAAAGTAATCTAGTTTTCACCCCTTTTAAAATAACTCATGTCCTTCTAGTAATCTCTCTCTCTCTCTCTCTCTCTCTCTCGGATAGGAACAAGTTTTGTCACGATGTCGTATAACTATTGCATGCTAGTGATTGGTTTCTTTCTTTCTCTTTTCTCTCGGAAGACTTAGGTTAAGAGAATAATTAAAAACACAAGAAAAGAAAGGGTAAAATGGTGGCATGTAGAGTTACTGTTTTTTCATTTTTTTTTTGAACGAGGAATAATGAGTATTTTACCGCAGATATTATGTTTACACTTTCTGTAAAATGGGTAAAATGGCTATCTCAGTAAACGAAAATCCAGTCACTTTAAATTTGGAGAAAGTTATTTATTGCATTTACATAAATAGTAGGGTTAATTGTTTTTTACCCCTATGTTTTGGCTAGAAACATCTTATCTATTTGATGTTTAAAATTATGCACATTATCCCCTAATAGTTATGTACCAAAATGAAGTAATTGACGCTGTTAACGGATTTAAAAAATTATCATAATACCCACGTTTTAAAATTAGATTTTTTATCTGATTTACTCTTGACTATAAAACTAATGGAACATGACAATAAACCAATATATTTCAATCAAACATGTCAAGTCTCTTTTTCCCTTAAGTGAGGTTTTGATCCAGGGTCAAAAATCACTTATGTTTTTCATGTTTTTTTGATTTGGGATCGATGTTTTACCTATTTTGGTATCATACCATATATTATAAAAGATATTTTAGACACTTAAACAATATTCTTTTGAAGGGAAACAATGGAAACAAAGCGCACAACATGTTTTGAACATATTGAATACACTCTCTATTAACTTGAATGATAAAAATAACTTTTTCACTTTGATATATAACTACAAAGGAGTAATGCTCATAATTTAAAACGTCAAGTAAGAAATATGTTTTTAACCGATATTACAGAGAAATAAAAAACAACTAATCCTAAATGGTATTGTTATGATTCAAACCCGTAACCTCCATATGCCTAAGAATCCACAAAATGCTTCCTCCATGAAAAGGCAGAAATAATGAAGTCCCTATGCTGAGGTAAAGCTGTTATGAACCCATGGATAAAATTGGTCCTTGAAAATTGGCTTGCAAGAGAAGAGCATCAAGAATTTATATACATATATCTAATCTTACTTTTAATCAATATGAGATCGTAACAATAACCAAAGAAAGAAAACATTCTTGATTGCAAAATTTTATTTAGAACAATAGAATAAAGTACACACTCAACTCCACACCCAAATTATTTCTTTTCCCGACGCTAAAATTACCACAAAACACAAACAAAATTACCAAAATTTGGGAGTTTATGAAGTGCAGTAATACAGAAACCAGTATCCAACTACAACTTGAGGAAAACAAACTCCTCTATGGCAGGAATTTCTCCAATCCTCTTCAGAGAGTCCTTGCTAGGTTGGTCATCTACTCCAATAGCCATCACAGCTTGCTTCCGTGGAGCAATCCTTCCAACGCTCATAAAGCTCACGTTAACACCCTCCTCGCCCAGAATGCTCCCCACTTTACCAATCATTCCTGGCTGATCAACCTGACTACAGAGGATAATACTACCTTCCAAGCTCACATCCACTTCGAAAGATCCAACCTTTGTCAAATGTGGTATACCATCTTTCACCCGTCCCTCTACCTTAATCTCCCCAGACCCAGAAATGGCACTGGCAAATCTTGATTCTACATTGGCAATCTGAACCTGAATGAACTCCAGTGGACTTTCTGGGGAACCATCTAGAACGATTCGTTCTTCTGATATTCGGAGTCCTCTTTGTTTAGCAGTGAAATCTGCATTCACCAAGTTAACAAAGACGTTGGATATAGGCTCAATTAGACCCTTTGTGATCATGGCACGCAGCAACCTTGTGTCAAGATCATCAGGAGCTCTAGCAGAAGCATATGACACTTTTATGGATTTAACACCACTTCCACCTGCTACTAACTGGACAGCTAGTCTTCCAAGCTTCTCAGCAAGTACAACAAATGGCTTCAGCTCTGCAAGAACCTGCAGCACGCAAGTAAATTTGAACCCCTCTACTTCTATTAGGCTCCTGATTTTGATGAACAAAATACATAATATGCCAAACATATAGGTAATTAACCCCGAGAGTTGATTAAGATACAAAATCGAGCATTATTTGGATAACAAGGTCATTGCCCAATAAACTAGAAAATGGAGCCCAATTCTTTTTTCCGTTCTAGTAAAATTCTAGTAAATACTCGCACTCAATCACTCCTCAACCCCATATTTTTTTCACCTTGATATTAAATAAATAATAACAAAGATGGAGGATTAGATCAACAATTCATCCAAGACATCGAGGATTTTGAGTATACTGGAAATACAGATGTGAATAAATTAATTGTATAATTAAGAAATAAGTTTGTAAAGATACCTCAGCAGGAACCATGGGGGCATTGACAGCAGTAGCAGCAAGCTCACCCTTTAGGGCTCCAACAACAGCTTCGGCAATTTCAATAGCCACACCTTCCTGTACTCAAAATTAGACATTAGTGAGAAGAGACTTCTTAAGTCTATAAGCAGAAGACGAAACCAACAATTCAACATACCTGAGCTTCCATAGTACTAGCACCAAGATGAGGAGTTACAGTTACATTCTCATGTTGTACCAACTTGCTGTCCTTTGGTGGTGGTTCTTGCGTGAAAACATCGAGTGCAGCCTGCAAGAAAAATCATCATTCTATCCACTGTCTTTATACAAATAATAGGTAAGTATAAGCTTTCTGTACTTCAAAGAGGAGAAAGCAAAAACCTGAGCCACAATGCCAGCATCCAATGCCTTCACTAAAGCTTCTTCGTCAATGACTCCTCCACGTGCAACATTAACGATCCGTACTCCTTTCTTCATCTTTGCAAAATTTTCATCATTGAGAATCTTTGATGTAGCAGGAGTAAGAGGCATGTGAAGAGATATGAAATCTGCAGTTGCAATGGCTTCATCAAAGCTCACAAGCTCCACTCCTATTGCACGGGCACGGTCTGCTGGCGCATATGGATCATGGGCAATTACATGCATTCCCAGCCCTTGGCACGCCTAGCAACTTCTGATCCAACCTTTCCAAAACCCATCACAGCAAGTGTTTTACCGACGAGAGAGACACCGACATATTTGTTCCGTTGCCACTTCCCTGGACAAATCAAACGACGATAGGTCAAGAGAATTCGACATTTCATGAATGCAAATTAGATGACCCAAATCAGGCTTTTGGAGGAAATGATTGTTCAATATGGTATCGTGTTCGAATCTTGCTGTTATCCGATTATTGACACATAATAAACCCAAAATTTAGTCTACACGTTAGGAGACGTGTTAAGTATGAATACTTAAGTTATAAGACTATTATTGATGTTATGAGCATGTGCAACATGTCATAACTCAAAGAGATGTCAATTTTAAGAAAGTCCAAACTTTACCCTTTTCACCATTCTTTACAGTTCGTCATCTTCATAAAAAACATCAAAGAAAATCAGATCTATGAACAGTGTCCAGAAAAGAATAGGATCTGGCAAGTCACAACCATTTCAGCTCAATTAAAATCCAATCTACGAAAGTTTTACGCTCATTCTTAACTTTCTAAATCCAGAAAAAGGCAAAACAGAACTAATCACAGACAAACAAGCACATGCAAAACAAGTGTTCGAAGAAATGCCAAACAGAAAATCTGTAACCAAATAGGCAGCGAAAAATCAGAAACATTTACTGATAACTGACCAGCTTTGACAGATGCATCAGCCTGCGCGACATTCCTCGCCATAGCAGTGAGAAGCGCGATCCCATGCTCCGCAGCCGCAACCGTATTAGCCGTCGGCGCATTAACCACAAGACAGCCGTGCTCCGTCGCCGCAGCCAGATCCACGTTATCGATCCCAACACCAGCTCTTCCAACAACCTTAAGCCTTCCACCAGAAGACTCAAACACCTCACGACTCACTTTCGTGCCACTGCGAACAATCATCGCGTCGCAAAGCGAGATCTTTGTGCAGAGCTCCTCGGGACTGAGATTATAAGAACAATCCACGTTCGCAAAGTCTTTGAGGAGCTCGAGTCCAGCCTCGCCGAGCTTTTCTGCAACGAGGACGGTCGGCCTGGCGTCCATCGCAAACACCAAGAATCGCCGCGGTTGGCGGTTGCTGCTGCGGGGGAGAGCGACGGTGGCGACTCCGAACCCGGAGGAGAGCGGGACTGTCCATGAGAGAGAAGAAGGCTTCTTGGGTGAGGGAGAGGTAAAGATACGCGATGAAGCTGAAGCTGCCATTGCACTACTCTCTCTCTCAAAGTGGCGGAGTATGAAACTACAAGTTTATCAAATGTTGTATGTTAAATGCTGTTAATCGTGTGTCGTCTCCTTGTGATTCGTTCATGTACCGTATTATTTGTTTGTGTGTTTGTGTTATGAATATTAAATGTTAGTCTATATTATTTATTATATATATTTAATAATTATATTAATTTTATAATCATTGTCGGGTTGGTGGCATCCCTCCCTCCTATCCTAAGTTTGGAATTTTAACACTTCACCTAATTCCAACGGAAAACACTATTCATCCTAAGTTTGGAATTTTGAAATGGAGCCCCAAATGAAATGAATAAATAGACTTTTGAGTCCCTTTGAAAAAAGTTAGCTAGACTCCCTAATCCAATGGTCCTATTTGTTGATACCAAAAATGGTTCTCTAAGTTTCTTGAGCGTGATCCTCTTCTCAGCTTTTGACGAGAGTACTTGTAAGGACGAGTCGATGACTGACAGAATGGATTTTAGGGTCAATCTTTCAATGCTTAAATCAAATTAGAGGTTGAAAAATGAAAAATCTGAAATGTGGACATGTTCTCGTATCTTGGTTGATCTCCTTCCTCCCTTTTTATAGGTCACCCTCCTAGTGCTGTTGGAAGCCAAATGGTATCGTAAATTTGAAATTCATAGTATTACTCAACCCCAATAGCCAAAGTCAAGGTTGTGGTGTGACTGTGACTGTGAGCCCACATAAGTAGGTGAAACTTGAAATTTTCTGTTTTACGTAAAATCATGCCTCCCACCAACTAAGAGTTGGGGAAGGTTGAGTCTTACTTGTCTCTCTCTTGTACTTGCGGATTCAATTTTTCCTTCCTAGCAACTAATTTGTCAAGAAAAAAATGACGAGAAAATATATTAAAAAAAATCTCACCCCAAGTGTAACATACTATCGTGGTGACATAATAAAACAGATACATAGAATAACTACTGTCATTAGTAATCACATTCACGACGTACAGGTTTACTTGAACTAAAATAAAAATTTAGTGCACACATAATTGGATTCTATGAACCAATACAATTGGAAATTCAACAAATTCGTGAACAAAGATAAGAGAGAACAAAGAACCTTACCTCATTTAGTGCACGCGCGCGCGCACATACAGGGGCTGTTAAGCACCAAGAGCTTTTATTCACTTTTTTTATTTTTGTCCGGGAAATTAATATGCCCGGAGTGTAGGGATATAGGAAGGTTGCTAGGGTGCAAAATGGCTGATGTATGCATCAGCCAAAATGTGTCCGAGTTGAACCTGAGCCTCCGTGGTAAGGTGGAGGTTATCTTCCTTAAGCTGCAATCCTTTGGCGTCCACGCATACGACATTCTGGAGATCAATTGCCTTTTGTGCTTCTCTTACCTTCTCCATGTACTTGGCATCCCCTGCTGATGCAATTGCAACCTGCATAATACCATGCCATCCAATTAGAACACCACATGTTTGTATGCATGTGAAACTTCTATTGTATGACAAATGACGACCAATCTTGACGTTTGCCAAACACAATGTGTTCTCCACAAGTTCTTGGGGGGTCATCAATTAAGAAAACACAAACACATACGGTACAAGATCTTTATAATTATGGGGAATCAGTTCACAAATGTTATAGAGAACAAGGGATTTTTCAAATCTTTGGAGGGTGGCCACTACTTTTGCTCCTAGATCCATCATTGTTCTCAACGAACTTCCACAATACAAAAGGAAAGAGTGGGAGGAAAAGGGTAAATCAACTCTTCCTCTAAATTTTAATTTCATTGCTGCAAATTGCAACATAAATCACTTTGCTTAGAGTAGACATGGACACTACCTACTATTGAATGGCTTAAACGAAGTGTTTCAAATACAATCACATAACATGCTAATCAAGATGGATCAAAGTTTATACCCTAATTTTTTTGGTTGGAAAAGGAACAATTTGATTAGCTCAAGAACTATACTCCTAATTGAATATTGGTTCTATTCTACGCCATTTCAGGATCTAACCTAGTGTCACATCATGAGTGTACATAATTTATTAAATAGCAACAACAGTACCATTTTGCTTGTATATCTGTTTCACACAGCAACCATGATCGACAGATGCCAGCGTTTGAAACTTCAGAGTAGAGAGAAAAAGGCAGAGCATGTTTTGGGAGTCGATTTCCTTGGAAAGGTGGTCTTAAAACTCAAAATTTTAAACTCTTGGAGGAAAACATTCTCGCCTCTATCTAAATCACAACACCTGGCACAATCTAGTTAGAATAACCATCTCAGACTAGGAAGGCAGATCTCAAAACCCTCAACAGTGTTGTATGATTCCTCCTGCCCTCAGGCCATCATCAAGTAGAATTTCACTCAACAATCAAGGTTAGAGTAACCACACGTCCACCCAAAAAATGCAGCCCCTTCTAGCGCTACATAAACGCTCCTCGCGTCCTGTCACCACCCTCAAGGTGGAGTGGGTTCTCCTCCTCCTACCGAAGGGATGACATGTGCGCAAACAAATAAGGAGACAACTTCCAATTCGCCCATTTACCACCTTTTCAATTCACCCAACTTCCAATTCCGATTGGTCCTTCCCAAGCATGACAACTGCCAATTAATATCATCAGATCCCACCAATCGCAAGACGCAAAGTACACACCACTTTGCAACGGCTATCTCCTTTTCATCTGCTCCCTTCCCAAGGCTGACTAAATAATCATATATACGCAGAAGAGGCATTTTAAAAGAGGTATTCGATCATGCATAGCTACACATTGCCTCTACAAATTTTTTCCAACATTTAGAAAGTACCACAATAGTGCCCTCTAACCCTATCCAACAGTCACTGCTCCACTTTGAAGAGTAGGTTCTTATACATCTGCCTATGAGGATTTCACTCTTCACAAGTCTCACAAATTAAAGAGCCTATAGTTCCTCTACTTTTTACTGCTAATGATGCGCTTTGAATCCCCGATCCCTCTTCTCTGAGAATACCAAATGATCTCAGTGCTTCACAATAGTTTTGACCAATAATATGTCTCAGCATCAAGATTTTATCCTAATTATTCAACTTATTGAATACACTACAAAAAATTATAATCTGCAAGTAGGTGTGTTAATTGGGCTGTCCTTTTGAGTTTTGGTATGCTCAAACTCGACACGAGTTGACCATGTCAGTCTGGAGCTCAACACGGGTTGTTCTTACCGCGAGCTTGAAATCAATCTCAAACTCGAGGAAAATTTGAAAAACATACTGCCAATTAGACTCGATTCCACAATCTCCAGGCGTTTTATACTAAGCTGAGGGTGCTTCTTTGTTACATTATTATCACAAAAAAAAACAATTTGTGCATTATATTATAAACGAATCGAGCTCCAGCTTATTGCCCAAACCAAGATACACATTGCTTGGGTAGTGTTGAATATTCAACAAGTTTCAATATTCGATTATATCCGGTACAATTTCGAATACAAACAAGTTTGAATGAAACAAAACCGAGTGTCGAGCGACTCAGTTCTTCAAGAGTCCTAATTTACAAGTAACAACAAACACCTAAAAAATTCGCATTTTAATCAAAAACAAAGAAGTTTAACTGACCTGAATAATTGGAAGCGAAGGCAAATCAAGATCTGTACGCACATTGTGAATGAGTTCCTCCATATTAGCCTTATAAGCCTCAGCATCATGCTGCGACGCCGCATCGCTCTCACCTTGGTACCATAGCAACGCCTTGATTTCACCACCGTCACCCGCCGCCGCTCTGGCCCTCGTCACCATATTGTCATACAAGTCAGTCCCACGCGCCCACTCCTTTATAGCCGTACCACCGATCGCACAGGGCACCAAACCCATCATCCCTAGGCGCTCTTTGACGGCATTGGCAAATGACATTCCGGGGCCGACACCACACGTCTTTTTGGTGTCGATGTCGCTGTGGAGTGGCTCACGCGCCGCCTCCCAGTGGAGGTTGGCATTGAGGCGGAGGATTGAGGGGTCGGGGAGGCAATCGTCTGGAAGGACGCCGTCCCAGTGCTTGTTTTTGTCGACTCCGCCACGGCCAGCCATGTTGCTTTGGCCTGATAAAATGAAGATCTGTTTGGTGGGTTGTGGTTCTTTCTGGGTTGAATCGAAGATTTCCATGGCTTAACAATGGTGTTTGATGAATTGGGTTTGGTTTGTTCGAATTCTGAAAGAGAAGAAGTGGGGTTTTAATGGAAATGGCTGGTTCAAAGTGGGTCACTGGTGGGTGTTGGGTGGGGTTGTGTGTGTCTGTGTGGGGCGGGGGACGTTTGTGTCGGTGGGTTTTGAAAACTGTCACGTGGTATAATTTATCCAAGTTATTAACTAAATTAATTTTTTATCTCTTATATATTTTTTCTTTAAGAAATATCACATCATCCAACGAGCTATTCACATTAGTTCTTTCTATCACAAAATTATATGTTATCATTTTGCTCTCGATTTAAAACTCGTTTTTGCATAAAAATTTGATGTATCTTGTTTTTCATGTTGTCATGGTCTTTTGAATCTTTAAATGATTGATAGAATTTTGATGCACTTTAATTTTAAATGATTGATAGAAATGAGAAGTGGATGTGTTGCTTTTTTTTTTTTAGTAGTTTGAAACTTAAGCTTATAATATTGGTATCAACATCTTTCCGAGCATTCCAGTTCTATATATGTGACTAAGATGTGGTCTCTCATAATAGTTAAGTTTTTATTTGTTATTTCTATCATTAGATTGATATGAATCTCACTTACTTTAAACTGGTAATATATGATTGTATAAATAAAATTTTTTAATTTTATTCACATTTTGGAGTTGAAGTTAATTACAGGTTTTTGGATATGAGTACAAAATATATAAATTCTGTAGGTTTTTTTTTTTTTGTGTGTGTACAATTTTTAGAGGGAATTTTTTCAATTCTTTTTTTTTTAAAATAGTGTCCTTATATTGTTTTTTGTATTACATAGTACTTTCAGGCACGAGTAGTGGTGGTATGGTGAATTATGATTAGGAATTTTGTCAAACTTACACTGATGATTGAGTATGTATTGATTATGTGGTGGTATGGTGAATTTGATAATTGTTATGTCTGATTGTAAGTTCTGTAAACATGTTTAGATTTTTATGAGTTCTTATTTTTAGAGAAAATTTTACTGAAATTTTTGAATAATAATATGGACTATCTTAATTTCAAATTGACATGTTGTTTTAGGTTATACAGAGTCTGTAGTTAATGTAGTATTTTTTGAGTTTTAATTTAATTTTTCGTTACGCTGCACCTTCAGGTATGAACAATTACTAGTAATTTATATAATAAATCAGCTAACAAGTTGAATTTTTATCTCTTATATATTTTCTCTTTAAAAAAATCACATCATCCAATTCTATCACATATTCAATTATTTAATATTTAATTAATTTATAATTTAACACAATTTTTATTTCATACATTATTCATATACGATAATGTACATATATTGAAAAAAAAAATTTTGAGTTATGCATTTTGAGAAAATTTTGACGCTATTTTTAAGAAAATAATAGGTAGAAATTAATTTTAAATGATGTAAGTAAAGAAATTAATTTTAAATTTGATATAATGGGATTAATTTTTTGAATGTTAAAATTTTATATTTCATCGTACTTTCAAATACAAGTTATAATTAATTATTAGATATAATAAAGATATAAAAACGTACTACATGAGTACAATAATGTATATGCATGATTCTGTCTCCTTTTTTTTTTGGTTAATTATAGTTGTGGTCCCCAAAATATTCATTTTATCTCATTTGGTCTCCAACCTTCTAATTGCATCAAGTTGGTCCCTCATGCATTACATATGCACTTGTCTAGTCCCTACCGTTGACGCTGTCCACAATTTTGATGGTTTATAATCATGTGTCATCCGCATGACCCAAGTGAGGGGCTTATATGACATTTACCCTCCTCCTATTCCTGCAGGGTGAGGGCTGATCAGGAGACTCTTCAATTTCTTCACTTGTTCTACAACATACAATATTCTTCAGTTAGGGCAAAACACGATTAGGGCAAAACACAAAGATGGTACATTCCAAACGACGGAAGATTGAGAATCAATATGCAGATGAAGACATTCCCCATTATGGTATGCACTCATTCTTATAGATTTGAATCTAAGGTACATGGGTAAGACTGATTTATAAAAGTTGGTATTTAATATTAGATAGTTTATGTGTTTGTTCGAAACTATTTGTTTATGCATTGGAAACTCTTTGTTAATAGTTTATGTGTAAGTTGCAATATTTTATAGCTGATGTGGTCCTTGAAAACCATTTGTTTATGCATTGAAAACTGTTCGGTAATAGTTAATGTCTTAGTTGCAATATTTTATAATTGATGTGGTCCTTAAACAGGACCTGATTCTTCATTTTTCAAAATGGAGAATCATCAGGTTGATGGTGATGTCTCAATTGATAAAGGGAAAAAAGTAGGATTAGAGTCTGATGAATCAGACAGTGAATACCAATCTGATTGTGAATCTAGTGAGTATGATATGTTGGTTGAAAGTGATTATGAAAGTGAGTATGATGACATGTTGTATGATAGTTATGTTGATAATGAAGCTGAATGGACTGATTTGAATAATAATAGGCAGAAAGAAACAACAACAAACAAAATGCAACAGTTAGAACTCAGTGATACATATGGTGATTCTGAGGAGATTTTAAGCTGCTACAGTTCATTTGATGGAGAGAATCATGCAAGAAAACATAAAAAATTTGAAGTATTTAGGACAGAAAATGATGAGAAAGACCCATATTTTAAACTAGGTATGTTTTTTAGTACATCTAATAAGATCAAGGCTGCCATTAGACAACATGCTATCAAATATCAGAGGAATGTAAAATTAGTAAAAAATGATAAGAAGAGGGTGAGGGTACAATGTGAAAGGGGTTGTAGTTGGCTAATTTATGCTTGTAGAGTGCATGGTGAGAAAACATACCAAATAAAGACATACATTGGTAAGCATACATGTGGAAAAACTTATAATAACAAAAATGTCACCTCAAAGATGATAACATTGAAGTATATGGATAAACTAAGGGTCAGTCCTTATTGGCCTACAAAGGCTTTTAAAAAGAGGGTTAGGAGAGATTTTCATGTTGATGTATCAAGGAATCAATTGTATAGAGCAAAGAAAAGCACAATGTTGTTGATACATGGTGATGAAATTGAACAATATGGTAGATTGTGAGATTACTATGAAGAACCAAGGAGGACTAACCCTAGTTCCACAATTATCTTGGATGCACCTGGTGATGAGAAAAATGGTGAACTTATATATTAGAGGTTTTATGTATGTCTTGTAGCATGTAAGAGAGGATTTCTTCAAGGGTGCATAAAAGTGGTTGGATTAGACGGTTGCCACCTGAAAGGGGCATATAGTGGACAATTGTTGATTGTTGTTGAGATTGATGCCAATGATTCTATGTTTCTCATTGCCTACTGTATTGTTGAGATTGAGATGAAGGAATCATGGACATGATTTTTAACAGTACTATGCACTGACTTAGACATAACTGATCAAAATCATGAGCAGTTGACCTTCATCATTGACAGGCACAAGGTATTTTTTAATCAAAATCAACAGTAGTGATTCTTACATTTATTTATCAGTTTATATTAACATCTTCTTAACATTTTCTGTGCAAGGTTTGCTTCCAACATTGACTAAGAGAGTACCAGCATCTAAGCATAGGCATTATGCCAGGCACATGCTAAACAATTTCATTAGACACTTTGAGGGATTGAGTATTAGGAAGAAATTCTGAAAATGTGCTAGGGCAACACATATTTTAGAATTTGACTATGAGATGCAAATGGTGAAAGAACAAGACGAGAAGTCATTTGATTGGTTGGCCAATGAGCCACCAACGTTTTGGAGTAGGTCACACTCTAGAGAAGAACCTAAGTGTGATATTTTGTTAAACAATCTATGTGAGAACTTTAATGGGGCAATTATAGAGGCAAGAGATAAATCCATCTTAGAAATACTAGAATGGATTAGATGCTACTTAGCTCAAAAAATGTTGAAGAGGAGAGAATGAGTTAGGAATTATAATGGTGATATATGCCCTAAGATTCAAAAGAGATTAGAGAAATAGAAAGGTAGTAGCTTTGATTGTATTGCCGAGTGGCATGGTGAGTTGAAGTTTGAGGTAAGGTGTATGAATGGAGAACAATATACAGTTGATTTGAAGGAGCAGTCTTGCTCATGTAGGAAATGGGACTTGACAAGAATCTCATGCCCACATGTCATTACTTGCATTCAAAATAGGGGATAACAACCAGAAAATTATGTTCTTGGGCAGTATAAGAAGGGGGCATTCATGCAGGCTTATGAACCAAACATAAACCCCATTAATGGACATAAGATGTGGCCTAAAAGTGGATTGACTCCACTATTGCCTCCATTGATCAGGAGACAACCTGATAGGCCAAAAAAATTACGGAGGAAGGAACCAGATGAGTTGATTAATAAAAAACAACCACATAAGTTGAGAAAATATGGAAATGTATCAGTTAATTGTAGGAGATGTGGTAAAAATGGACATAACAGGAAGACTTGTACTGTTACACTGCCAGAAGGAAACCAAGCTGAAAGGAGCCAAATTGGGGGAAACCAAGCTATTGTGAACCAAGGTGGAGGCAGCCAACTACTGTTAGCCAAGGCGGAGGGAATCAAGCTATTTCTCTATATAGCTTCAAGGTTCAACCATTGGTTCACCATCAACTACTAGTAATGTCTTTGTCATTCATACTCGAAGGGATAAAATACCATTCAGGAGGAGAAAATCAACAAGCACCCATACCTGATCTGCAACTTCTCTTTTTTATTTTTGGAGCCAAGCTTATATGCAATGTAAATGTGTTGCTCTCTTTTGGGTTTGTGATGAGAGTCTAAATCTAGCTTATAACCTTTTATGTACTCTTTCTTGCTCTCATTTTGGGTTTGTATTGAGAGACCAACTTGTAATTATGGACATCTTCTTCTTTTTTATGCTAACAGGTTGTTACCTTAATGAAAATTAGCATTACCTTTTGTTTTGTATGGAGTTTTGCTCTAATAATTTCTTATTGTTTTGTATGGAGTTAAGGTTGGTTAATGTTTGGTGGGTGATTGGTAACTGTAATGTTTTCTTGGAATTTGTGAAAAAAGAAGACATGTGGTAAGGGCTAGAAAGCATAATAATTCCATCAAAAGGTGTTGTGGATTGAGCTTCTTTGAATTTTAACATCATGTTGGTTTGGAAGCTTTGATTTGTATGTTCAGCTTAGAAAGTTGATGCTTCTCTTGAATAATTGAATTTCTCTTTTGATTTGTGCACATTTTCAGTGTAGAATTGGGCCCATGGGACTTTTAGTGAACTAGAAAAGTGATCTGATCCTTTGCTTTTGAGAGGAATTGCAATGAGCTGCCAATACATTAATGCGAAATGGGACAGGTAAAACCTAGTCATGTTCAGTACAAAAGGCATTGAAAGTTCGAAGACAGTAGATTAAACAACAGGACATCTCTTACACAACAAAAACAAGGCACCCTCCTACACAAAAACAAAACACCGTCTACAGACAAACAACGCACTCCTACTTACAGTAAATGCCACACCCAGGTAAAAATAAAAAATGTCCATGAACATAATAGAGCAACCTATAATAATTTTTCCCTAACTTTTGTCTTTCATTGTTGGTTCTCCTATCTTTCCTTTGATCGCAACAATCTGGGTATCACTTGCTTCGCTCTATCGCACATTGACAGATCATACCAAACAAAAAATCTACACCCTCCAACCTCCTACAAATGCAACATTTTGTTAAATGCATTCAAATTGAAAACTCAGTAACAAAATCCAGAACATCTTTTTTACCCTATATCTTTCACATTCAATGAACCTTCTTCCTGGGTTGGTATCAGTCCATGAGGTCCTCATTTTGCCTATTTGTCTATAGTAGCATAGTGTTGCTACCATTCCAGTCGCAATTGATCCCTTTCCTTCCCTTCCCCTCATAGGGATATAACACATAACTGTTGACGAGAAAGTTTCCCTTTAGGAATGGGATGAGGGTAAATGTCATATAAGTCCTTCACCTGAGTCATGCAGATGACACATGACTATGAACCATCAAAATTGTAGACAGTGTCAACGGCGGGGACTAGGTAAGTGCATATGTAATACATCAGGGACCAACTTAATGCAATTAGAAGGTTGGGGACAAAATTGAGACAAAATGAATACTTTGAACACCACAACCGTAATTAACCCTTTTTTTTTAACAGTAGGACCCACAGATCACTCACACTGAATACACAACATATATGTAAAGAGAAAAATGTTACATAACTCAAATAAAATTCAAAAATTAAAACACAAATGCATATCATCCCTTGGATGAGTGTGAAATGAGTGGGTCTTACTAAAAAAATTGATGGGACTCACTTATCCAAGGGATAATATGCATTTGAGTTATAATTTTTTGGGTTTTATTTGAATTGAACTTGAACAATTTTTAAATTCATTTAAAAAAACAAATTTGACTCGAACTTGCAAAATTGTCATATTATAATTATAAAAAAATATTTTAAGGGTCATTTATAACTTTTGCCATCAATCTTAAAAATATTAGGATCAATCACAAAATTACCACAAAAGTGATAGCAAAATATTCGAAACCCAAATCTTAAAATTATACTATGACCCAAAAAATTATAATTTTTTTTTAGGGATTAAGAAAATATACAAAAAATAGAATTGGAGAAGAAAATTCACTTTAAGAGAGGTAAAAACCTCCAATAATTCAATTTGAGAAAAATCAAAAATACTTTATTGCTAACTATTCACTAATAATCTTTCAATAACTAATTCCTAAATTAGACAAAAAATATATATATTAAAAATATACACATAACAGAGTATATGTGTCATGTATGTGTTTGGTCTTAGTTGATGGAGTAATATTATAACGACCTAATCGGATGAGATAATCGATACTTAATTTAATGTAATCATTCAATTAATTAAGGAGTTTTAATATTAGATGGAGTCAAATTTTAATCTAACAATCGTAATTAATTAATTAATTATTCAGATTAGGTCTAAATAATATATTTTTATTGTGGATATGAGCAATGCAATAATAGAATAATATTAGACTGAAAAGAAAAACTAAATAATGTAATACTCCAATAATAATATTTTTTTTATTTCATTTAAAATTTAAGATTCACTTACAAGTTACCATGTCTTTTTGTTTCAAACTGAGTTAGCATGACAGTTGTGACGGATATTAACTTCCACGGAGTTGTCTATCCTCCCACAAAAATTATAAAAATATTTAATGAAATAATAAATTTTAGAGGTATCGTACGAATTTTTTTTGTCGGTATCGCAGTCAAATCCTATAGAGCGGTAGAAATAGGAACGCTATTTTGACAAAAATGACCATACATTTCTTCTATGATTGACTTGATTTATTATCACATTTGAATTGATTACAAAAATATTTTGGACATTTTGATCCTTGTTATTAACCATTGATTTTAATTTAATTAATTTATAAATATTAACTAAAAATATATAAAATTTTAAAAATTCTATATGTGATATTTTGTATTTGATAAAAATTAAAAAATAATAGTGAAGTAATTTTTGGATACCGTAATTAGACTGCAATTGGACAACAAAGATGTGTGGTTTCAAATTGTGACTACTTAGAAATCTTGGTATATCCTCGTTCCCCTCCTCGTAATCATCTCTGTCTCAACTTACTTGTACCTGCACAAGAAATTTGTCTTGCATTATGTTATATTTTTTGATAACTAAAAAAGAGATGGGGTCAAAGAAGAGTGCTTAATGACTATCTTGTTATGCCCTTATTAGTGGGATCATAAGGTCTCTGACCATAACTGAAACATCTCTCAGGATCAGATCTAACTAGACTAGCATAACAGCCAACTACTAATTCTAATGAGAATTCTGGGACTTGGACTTCCAAAGAGTCTCAACACCTGAGTAAGACTATTATCACTACTAGACCACCCTAATATGTAAATAAGTTAGAAAATAGGACCATTAAAAAGTGCGTGATATAATTGTTTACTAATAAGTAAATAAGTCCGTAAATGAATTTCACTAAAACTTATAATTAAGGGTGTTAAAATATAACATGATTCGTTAACATTACACGAAGTTAAAAGATTTGAGTTTTCTTTAAGCCACACGTTTCATAGATGTATATCCGGCACGATACGATTAATAAACGAATTAGATATGAGTGAAACAAATTAAAAGAAAAATTCGGTACGATTCGATTAGATACCAGTTATATATAATTTATACACGACACTAATTCAATACAACACAACTTATTAAATAAAAATTAATAAATAAATCGAGTGTGAGTGAAGTACAAAAAAGTTACTTAAGTTTTAAATTCGAAAACATCAAAATTTACTTCTTATTCATTATCTACAAAGGTTCACCCGTTGTGATTAAAAACACCCTCTTGCTACTGAGTAATGCAGACTACCTGGCATGGGTAAGCAACATATAACATGTTTAGTCCCAACCGATATTTGGTCTGCGGTGTTTTTTTAGAATTTATTTGATTTTAAGTTAAAACATTATAAAGTTGATGATTCCCACCAAGAATTTGATCGCCGGGTCGTGCTAATTCCATACGAATCCCACACTTAAACTTATATTCTATTAAGTCTTCTTTTTCATTAAATTATTTTCATTAAGTACAAATTTTAATTTTTTTTATATTACCTAATTACTCCTACTATAAATATTGTCTATCATTGTTAGTTTCAATATTTTTAATTTTAAATATACCAACTCCTAACTTAGGAATTGTGTTAACATTAAAATAATTTTTCTACAATAATAATAATAATAAGATAGAATCAAATTTAAATCTTTTTTTACTTTAAAATTTAATTTAATTTTAATCCAATTGGATTACTTCAAAATTTAATTTAACTTATTACTTCAGATTTAATCTACTTTTCATTTAATGACTCAAATTTCATTTCAAATATTTTAATTTAATCCAAAGGTCCACGATGCATCCCACACAAATTGCTTCTCCTGCCCATTTTAACCCCACGCACACGCCACCCCTTTTTACTCAAAATAACCCTCAACCGATTTTCTCCCCCTTTCTCTCTCTGCTCATCTACCGATTAAACCAGCCTCTCATGAACTTCTCATCGCCATGGTTAAACCGCCACCAGTAGTAGCAACAGCTTCTTCCCGGGTACACCTTTTTCTCTCTCTCTCTCTCAGGACACATTCACACTCAAACCCACAACACAACACCAAACACGTAACACAACACAACACACTTTTTCTCTCTCATGACACACACACACTCAAACCCACAACACAGCACCAAATCCAATAGCCCACATATCACACAATGCACATACATACACACACACAACATACGCACACAGCAGCACACAAACACACACACACATCAGCCCCCCACATGCACACACAGAGACCACAGCAACACACACACAAATCACCCAACATACACACAACAGCACACAAATCACCCAACACACACACAACAGCACACAAATCACCCAACACACACACACACACAAAACAGTAACACACAAACACACACAACTCTAGGTTTGAGTTTTTGAATTTGGGTTAATTTAGATTTTTGAATGTTTGTGTTTAATTTGGGTGTTCTTAATTTGGATGTGTTTAATTTGGGTGTTTAA